TGAGTCTATCACCAGTAAATGACAAAACCAAGATTTGAACCAGGTCTGTCTGAAGCCAGAGTTAAATCTTTTTACCAAAATGATATGAAAGCCTCCCTTTGCAAGGCTTCTCCAGATTACAAACTTGGTTTGTGCTACAAAACCAACATTACTCCAACTGCCCCCTAAAGAGTGATCCTCAATAAAACAAGGATAAAAATAACTGCCTCAGAGCTGGTATTGATGAATTTGCCAGCACAATGCCATAAATCAGTTACTTTCCCTTAAAACAATTCTGAATACATTGCTCTGTGGGAAGGCAATAGGTTGCATCACCTTCAACACATTGTTCTGTGGGAACACCTTCAAAACAGAGTAAAAAAAAGTAAACTAACTAACTAAATAAATACTCTTGATCATTTCCTTAGTAAGAAAAGTCTGAAATGATAGGAACCAATTTTTCTTAATTATAGCAACTCATGGATATGTACATATTCCACTAAGTACAGTATGCCTTTGAACACATCTGGATTACTTTATACCTCCTCTTTCTTTTTCGCTCTCTTCCTCTCTCTCCATGTCTTTACCATTACATACACACACGTACACACACACACACACACACACCACACACACACACAAGAATTGAATCCTGATGCAACATTATCTCCCTCATTCTCAAACATGTGCTTAACACTTGTTCAGATAATAGAAATCTATTCTCTAGCCAGTTAATTCGAACAATAAAAAAACATGAGGATTTTATAGAGATAGGTTACCCAAGCGCATCAAAGATGCTGGTAGCTACATATTTAGTGACAGAGGATTTTTGTGATTAAAATGTGGAAGACAGTAGACAAAGTCTCCTCTGTTTTCACCACTTGGTTGGCTCCAAAATAGGTGGAGCCCTGCTTCTTGTAACACCAAATTTCACGTTGCTTTTTATGAGCAGAGGGTCCATTTCTACATTGCACCTCTGGATTTAAAAGAGGAAATTTAAACCTCAGAATAATGTTTTTTGCTGAACAAAATGTATGCCAAACTAAGCTCTGACTGACTTCTGGTTTTCTGAGTGCTGGCCCCCAAAGTTTTCTCAGGTTTCCTGTACCGGGCCGAACTCACGGTCCTGTGCCATTTCCTCCATGCTACAGTTGGGTGGAGTTGGGGGAGGAGAAGCAGACCCACTTCTCAGGTACATGTAGTAGATTCAGGGATGCCCTAAAGATCCAGAAAATTGCTTCAGATTCATTATCTGAGTGTGGCTGACTTCAGGGAAGGCACCAATGTGTTTTTCTAGGCATTATGGGAAAAATAATTCTAGCAAGAAGAGGGGTGAGTTGAAAATTACACAAAACAGACTCAGTCTGGGTCTTGTTCTTCAGGCCAAAAGAGATCATTTTGTAAAGGAGGGGAAAGCTACATCTTGCTGTCTCCTAAACAATGGAACACTTACGTCTTGAACCTAAGCTGCCTACCCCGTTCCCCAGATGGCAGCACCGTAGTTCACTCTGTCACCTTCCCCCTTAAATAGATGAACTGAAGCTTTTTGTCCCACACACTTTTAAACGACATCCATCACCAGCTAGCAAACAGGTTATTCTTGGATCACAACTGACTCTGGCAAGATGCTCAGGTCTATGCGACGAGGATAAATGAGAATAAAATTATTCAGTTCTGCTTGCCGTGGCCACTGCGCCCTCTGTCATCCTCAAAATTCCCACAGAAATGAGCTCATTCCACCTTTGAAATGTTTCAGAGCTTAGAAGTTTAAATCAGGCCAAGTTGATTTTGTGGGGGTTTTCAAGCTTTTACACTGTAATTATATACTGGACTTTGTGCCACCTATTTCCTCCCAACTGTAACATTTTACATCTTTTTAGCATACGTTGAGGTTAGCTTTTTTTTTAGTACATGTTATGAAATAAGATATGAGCTTATGCTCAGCCTTAGGTACCTTTCTGCCAAAAGGTTAGACCAACGCAAACTAAATATGACTATTTTCTTTATCCAGAGTACAGTTTTGCCTATTACATACTCTCTAAGTGTACATACATAAAACTAGCTCACAACTCAAGCTCCCTGCAGGTCAACTGAAATTATAACGAGATTTTCCTTTCATATAATGTGATTAACAAACGTTAGTTAACCAAACTCCGGTAAGACTCAAAGGAAAAAAACAAAATAGCTCAAGCAACGCCCAATAGTAAAATAACTGCACAACCTTTCTTTTCTCCTTGCTTTCTCACATCTGTAACTAAGCAAATAGCCTGTTTCTCTTGATTGTAGGCATCTATTCGAGAGACAGATGAAAGCTAGTGAGTTCTAGCTCAGCTATGTACTAAAAGATGACCTTCGCACACCATTTAACTCTTCTAGCCTCAGTTTCCTCTTCTGTCAAACTGGGGTACAAGCCCTGCAGAGGACTTTTGTGAAGACTAAAAGAAATAATGCAGGTTTAGATAAGTGCCAGCAAATAAAGTGTTTCCATAAAATTTATTTGCTATGGCTAACACTATCTGCCTGCTAATATGTCTACGTTCCAACCTAAGCAGAAACCTGCCTGCAGCCTTTTGGCAATGGGGGGCGCTCTGAAATGCATACCCTGCGGTTGGTCTCTCACAAACTTATAAAAGGGTAAACAAACAGAAATGATTGTCCATCCTTTCTCAACTTTATCAAGTTATTACAAATGTTTGGGAAGCAATAATGACTATGACAACTTGTCTTAAACCCCAGCAAAGGTCATGATAACAAATAATGAGCCTTTCTGCCAGTGAGCGCTTGAAGGCTCACTGATATGTGAGGCTCAGTGATAAATGTCAGCTTCTGAATAACACGTGAATCAGATGCCAGAGTTCCTACTTCACTCCTTTAGAAAGAATTTCTGACAGTTCTTAGTCAAGACAAATATTTCCAATGTTACTTAAAGACAGAAATGAACCTACTAGCCTTCGAAACTTAATCAATACTTTTCTGAAATGAATACTATTCCCATTTGAATTTGTATTCCAATGCATGCATCTTTCTCTATTCAGATTCCCTCTTATTTTCAAGACAGCAGATTCTAACATTTATCTTATTATCAGTTAAGTCTGCCTTTTCAGTGAAAAGCACTATTTTCCGCCAGGGCATAGTACTGAAAAGGGGGAACGCTGTGTGGAAAAGTTTTCCTAATGTTATTTGGGAACAATTTGCAAAACCCAAAGTGTATATCTATTAATAGTAATATTGCTTTATTAATAGTAATATTGCCGAGGAGAAAAACAATATTTTCACATATGTAACTATGGGCACATTTAAATGTTCCTTGGACAGGGTAATTTCTTCTGAAAAGAAAGTAAGATAAACTAATTCACTCAGCAATAAAATCTGAGTTTTATACAGAAAAGAAATGAAAAAGAAAAATCTCAAACTCACACACACACTCACACACACACACACACATACACACTGCAAATGTAAATACACAACTGAGAACGGAGTCAAACTTTAAAATCAAAACTTTTTTTCTGGTGAAGGATAGAATTGGACTTTTGGAGGTGAACTTAATGTAGTATGTATGTAGTTGCCTTTCAATGATGCACACTTGAAATTTATGTAAGTTATAATGACACATTACTTCAATTTTCAAAAATTTTAAATTTTTCAAATGAAGACAATTTAAGTGGTTAAAAATCTAATGTAAGAATACAATACAAAACCAAATCCCCACCCTCATATTAAATGTTACATGAATTTAGCTATAACTCTTCACATAATTCAGAGGAAGAAATTAGAAAAGAGAAATAGAAAAGTAAATTACCTGCATCAAAAAAACAAACTTTTTCAACAAGTTGTTTAGTGAAAGATCATTAATTAACATGACAACTCATAAACACAAAATCTCAAGAGTCTCTTTCTCTTAGCTCTCTTTCAATAGGGCAGCAATATTCATCATCGCAGCAAACAATGCATTTTTATATTTTGTTCTCTTGATTGCCTTAGTCTTCATTATCTGATAATCATTTGATACAGGCATCTACCTTCACTCATTTATCATTCTATAACATTGACCTCATCTCTGTCAGAAAAAAGTTTGGGTAGTTTCAACCCAGATGGCTTGGCTTTCACCTTAACAGAGAAGTATCCCTTCTCCAGTTCCACATAGCATGTTGATCAGGTAACAAGTGGTCATCTATCATTTTTGGACTTTGCATTTGACTGTCTTAAAGTATTTCAACAGGGTTTTGTGATGCGTAGTTTTTCATCAAGGGTTGACAAAAGTGACTGCCATGTAAAACACACAGAAATATTGCTCTTTGTGAGCCTATATTTCATCTCTGAAATTCTAATTCTTTCAATATCTCCATGTGGCTGCTTATTAGATTTTGCCTAACAATGGTGTTAAAATAAACTGAAACAAATTATTTGTTTGATTCTACTATCCACTACTAGAGCTGACTAAGCAAATGACAGCCAAGTCCCATTCTCAAGAATACAATGTCCTTTCTGGTTTATGCCTCTAAATAGAAAATACAAAGACTGTCTCTGAGAGCTCAGAGTATAATAGGCAAAGAAATCCAAGATTATATCTAGTCTTCATATTTATCCTTTGCGACTGTCAGCTCTCTTTCTCTTTGTCACCTTATCCCTGATATTTATATTTAAGTGTTATCTCATTTTCCCACTGAGTTCAGAAGACAGAATTAAGGAAGATAGTTGGGTGGTACCCAAGATTTGGTGGCAACAGTCATTCCTGGGAACAGACAATGCAAATGATAATTGTCACTGAAACAATGCCATACAAAGTCCATCTTAAGTTTACTTCTCAAAGGATGATGTCAAAGCTAAAAATGTCCAATCTGATGAAATGGAAATTACCAAAACCTATAAAACTCAGAAATTCAACTGTGTTCAACAATATCGTGCAGGTTTGTAATGACTAAAGACAGCTTTCAACATCTATTTCTATTACTACATTTAATGGACTCATCTTGTCAGAGAGAACAATTGCCTTCACATTACCTGCTCTTCATACTTACCAAGCAGACACACATTATACAAGGATTGTCCGTGATAAAGGGAATCTGGAGAACTTCACCTTCATTTTCACATTTTGCAACAGAACCTGAAGAGAAGGGAAAATAATAATTTAAGCTAAGCATTATTAGAAAAAAAAATTTTACACTAGTCATTTTTAAATAATGACCCAAATTTTAGAAATTCTTAATGAGCTTTGCATGGTCAAATTCACCAAAAACAAATTCCCCACTGAAAGTCTAAATAGTTGTATGTGATCAGACTTTAAAAAAAAAAAACAAAAAAAAAAAAACAAAAAAAAAACTGTGACATATAGATTTTTCTGTTCTCAGATGGTTTAAGCACAATTTCAAATTTCATTAGCTCTTTAGTACTACACCTCCTTTATGAAGGTATTTCAGCTAAGCATATACCCCTACATGAAAAAAAAATGCAAATTTGGTCACTTGGGTAGATTTTAAATTTGAGCAAATTTCAAGACATTATACAACTCTCCCTCAGATTATCTTGGGTGCAAATCACTTTTTGAAACACAATCTTCTTTCCTCTTCCCTTAGAAATTCACTCAATATTTTCTTTCCTGCACCAGGTGTCAGTAAAGTATGTCCTTCAGCATTGCAGCTGAGGTCTTCACCTGCCTGAAAACATATAATTATTATATCCTGCTATTATTACCCTTTTAAATATTATAGTTTCCTCAAATTCAAGGTATGGAAAGCGGGAACTTTAAAAAGCATTCCTACCACAGAAATATTGGAAGGCTATAGAGTGAGAAAAGAGGATATTCAGAAAACAGAGCAAGTCTTTTTTTTTTTCTTTAATTTTATAGGAAGAAGAGATTACAGTAAGGTTAAGGTGAACATACAAAATAAAGAAATTCCTTTCTCAAATTCACACTGAATTTCTAATATCACTACACTGATGTCAATAGCTTCTTAGTCCTCCACCTCTTCACCTCCTCCCTGGCTTCCCATCCCTGCGCTCCCGGGCTCCGATTCATCCCCAGGGGCCAGCCTGCGGCGGGCGCCAAGGTGCTCGCCCCCTACCCTCCCATCCCCTGGGCTAGTCTGCGCCTCCTCTCCCAGGTACCACGCCAGCCTCCAGGAGGGCCGATCCCTCCCGCCCCCTCCCCTACCTGTCAAGAAGGAGGAAGCCAGAGACATGGGGACCCCCGAGCAATTGAGCAGCAGCAAGACGCAGCAGGTAATCCCGGGCGAGCGCCGGCAGGGACGCTCAGCCAGAGCCCTGACGCCGGAGAACCAGAGCATCGTCACCTGGAGGGAATCCCGGGCGACTGCAGGTCCCGCGCCGCCGCCTCAGCTCGGCTGCCGCTGCTCGCAGTCAGAAAGGGCTCTCTGCCGGCGAGTCGGGAGACAGTCCGCCAAGGAGGGAGGCGGGCGCCCGGGAGCCGGGAGAGGGGGGGCGGGGGGGGAGGGAGGCGAGGGGTGGGGGGCGCCTGGGGAGGAGGGGTCCTGCGGCCAGGCTCCTCCAATGCGGCTTTTTTTTTCCAAGGAGTTGATCGCTGCCGCCGAGTCGCCGGCCCCTCCACTCCAGAGAGGGGGCCGGGAGGGGGTGTCCGAGCCGCGGAGATAAGCAGAGGAGCGGCTGCGCCGTGGGCTGCGCACCGCCGCTCGGCAGCCGCCGCCTGGGCTGCAGCAACTGCCCGGGGCACTGCCGCTGCCGCCGTGTCCTCCACCCCTCCACTCCCACCTCCCGCCGACCCCGTCCGCTCCCTGCCGGACCTGCGCGCACGCTCGCTCCGGCGCGGCGGACTGGGGCGCACCCGGCGCCTGCCACTAGCCGCTGGAGGCGCCCCGGCGCTGGAGGGACTGTAGGAGCCCCGCGCCGGGGACGCGTCTCAGCCGGGCGAGCAGCCCGCTCCAGAACCCCACCGAGAAGGCCACCGGCCCCAGAGGCGCAGACCCGAGCAGGGCAGGCGCGTCTCCAGCGCTCGGCGCGCTGCACCTCCTTCCCGGGTTCCCCGGGGAACCCTCCCCTAACGCGGGGTGCCGCACCAGCCTGCTCTGGGCCCCGCGCCCGGCTTTGTGAAGGAGCAACAAATGGGGCGCGGGAGGGCGCCCGCAACTTTACAAGCCCTGCTTTGCTTCCCTCTGGCGGGGGCGCGACAACGGTCTCCTGGCTGGGGCGCACAGAGAAGGGTGAGGGGCCTGGGGGGTCAGTGTGCTGCGCTGCTGTGTCTGCTTGTTCTGGTACGGGGAGGACAGAAGTTGACATGGCACGCAAGGTCGATTAATAAACGCACAGAGCAGACGCTTTTCGCCCTTAAAAAATAGAAACAGTTGCTCCCTGACTCCTCCCTTCCAAGCCGGGGCGCCTGGGGCGGGGAGGTGCTGTTTGACTAATCATTCATTCACCCGCGGAAGAGGGAGGGACCCGCCCGGGAGCTAATCTCGGGTTGGGGCCGCTGCGGCGGGTTCAGCCGCTCCGAGTTCTGTCCACTTCTTCGCCTTTCTGGCGTCCGCTGTCCCGAGTGTCCCCGAGTCGGTTCCGACGTCCCGTGAACGTGCAGCGTAATTGCAACCTCGAACCCAAGCAGTGAAAGCCTGTGCTCCAGGGAGGTGCAAGAAGTAAAGAATTCTTGTAACCAGATTACCAAGGGCCGGGTGGGGATTGGGAAACGCTTGCCCGCGTTGCAACCCGGTGATCAGCTGCCCTATGGACCCTTCAAGGGTCGCCGGCTTCCCCTCCACAGGAATAAAAATGGGGTTCCCGCATGCCCACCTCCCCTGCGGCCGGCGGGTCTGAATGGATCCAATGGGAAATCAGTGACAAGTCAAGCACTTGCCTCAGCGCGTGGGACCTACCAGTCTTCGCCAGAGTGGGCAGTCAGTAGTCGCAGAAACTATACCTTTGAAAAGGCATTAGTCTGTTTGCCCACACATTTAGGCCCAGTTCCTCCCCCTTTGGGAGGGGGAAAGGAGGGTCTGTGTATTTGTTTGCATTTTTTCGAGTTGTTTGAGGCTTCATTTAATTAATGCAGCATTGCCAACATGCAGGCACACCAAGGAGTTGATAGGAGCGCAGTGCTCTGACGTGAGAAAAATAAAAGGGGAAAGCTGTCATTAGCTTAGTATGCTCCATTTCCCTCTCAAAACAGATTTTGTGTAAAACTTAAGTTAAAAGAGAAGAAAAATGATGTGTGGTTGGTATCCCTCCCACCACCCCCAAAACCCCCATGGCCAGGCAGCTTCTTGAAAATCAGTGTGTTTAATGTATTTACTAACTAACCACAAAGAAAGAGAACATGCAAAATAATCATCATCTCTAAACAGCCTTTCCCCCCCCTCGCAGTGACAGGATTAAAAATAAAACTTATTACTACAGATAAGTACAATCAGTTGAAACCCTATGTCCTCTACTTAAAAAGATTCTCTCTGGATGGGGTTTTGAAGATGTTAATCATGACTTAATTAAGGAAAACTGAATAAGAAGGAAGCTGGGAGACCTTTTACAGCCTTAGACTTAAACCTTAAATCTGGAAAAAAACACAGTATGGAATTGCAGGACATTTGAAGAGTGTGCATCAGTTACTCTGATTTTGGGTTTCCTGGGAACCAGCTATACATCCTCAAAGGTTTGCATAACAAAATTCTTTATGGTGGAATGTAGGGGTGTGAGTGGCATTTCTCTACCCAGGGGCCTGGTGCTTTGAGGTGCTTTGGAGCTCTCCCTGTAGATACAAATCCAAAACCACCTAGAAAATACTTTTATCTTCTTTCAAATGAGAAAGATGTGCCGAAGTCTTTGGCAACTCTGTCTCTTTTTCCTGTTTGTTCTAATCAAATGCCACCAATCATTTCCCTTGCTCCCTGCTCAGCAAATGTGTCCTACTTCTGGAAGAGCATCCTCCCCAAAGGGTTTATCAGATTATTTCTGCCTACATCCACTGCTGCTGCCATCTCTCCTTCAAGTGATGGTCTATCAACTGCCAGTTGATCTGTCTACACAAAGCTGAGACATTATTGGGTCAAAAAAGAAGAATGAAGCAGCAGGCCTGCACTGAACAGCACAAAGATGTGCTTGCATATTAAATATAAATGGTGGTACTATCTGAATCCCAAATTGCTCTCTTCACTGAAATAAAAAAGAGAACCGAAGATTTGTTTCACTCTGTTTAGTATACACTTTCTAAGTGGAAGCAGGTAATGAGGCCCAAAAATTATGTAACTGAGAACCTATCTAAGACTCAGTTGGAAAAGCACTGCCTCATCCTCTTTAAAATAAAATATATAACATATTCAGACTAAAAGGTAATCAGGCTCGCGGTATGAGAAATTCCTTTCGTCTCCTTGCAAAACTGTGATGCTGAATTAACACTGAAAAAATCCAACTAAATACACAATTTAGCAACGTGGACTCAAGTCCCAATATTACTACAAAAGAAATTACATCAACCCAGGTCCCTGAAAGAAATAAATAGTCCTTTCAAGGTAACAGGGTAAAAGAATTGTAATACCAACCACCAGGGAGGGCCGAAAGTATTCCATAAATTTGTGAGGGTTTTGCTTTATAAATGCACCAGACCTTGATAAGAATAAGGGATTGTGCTTCCAAGATCTTACAGCCAACTCATAAGAGAGATATAGCATGTTTATAAATGAAAGTAGTAAGGTAGAGAGTGAATGTCAGGGGAGGAGATAAAATACCTTGTCTTGCAAGCTTAATGGAAGAAGACATTAAGCTTGTAGAGGAGGTGACAGGCAATGAGACTCCAGTGGACAGAGGATAGGGGGAAGGGAAATTTGGGAACAGCAGAAAGCAACAGCAGGGAGACACAATTCCTTGAGAGAATGGACAACAGTCCTTCAATTGACTATCTCGTAGCTGAGCAGGAGCTGCTGGAAGGTTTGGAGATTATAAGGAATGTACAGACAGCGCTTGAAGGATTTAATCCAGATGAGCAATAGGGTATTTACCTTGGAGTAAGTGCCCAATTCTTTGAAACAGCCAGGATACATTTGTATAAAGTAGAAATGATTTCCACAGGCATATTCAGTAAATCCACACAATTAGTCATTATTAATTATGATACTGGAAAGTATCATTTCCACCTACATCTGTTTGATAGGGTGACAGAATGCATAATAGTCATCAATCACTGTTTCTCAACCTTTTTAGCAATGGTTATCTGATTCTTCTCAAGATGAAAGTAGAAATACCACTTTTAACCAATCCTAGTTATCACATAAACCATCTACCTCCCCTTTCACTGTAAAAATGGGAATTCTTAAGGATAGGGGTACACACAGCTAGAAAATGCAATGGGACATTTAAAGAGTTCTCTGGCTGCCTGATCCTGATCCTTTCCAGTGCAAATGCTCTGCCTTCTGAAGTCATAACAATCACAGAATGGCTTAGATATCATGCAAATTAGAGTTATAAAGTTGGCATACTAGGTACTCAAATATCTATGAACAGAACTGACACCAATGATACAAGTTGTAAGATCATAAAAAGTAGGCTACAACTTTGTTTACCAGTTGAACAGTGAACTTATTCTTATGTCACTAGGTTAAAATGTTAAAGAGCTGCAATCTCTTCTGAGCTTTGTGACCAGTTTACTTAGTTTCTGGTCCTTCAGAAAGGAGTAGTTTCCATTGCAGCTGACAAGAAATTCTCTAGTTTGTGCCAGAGGGATCTACAAGTATTCCAAAGAATCAGAGACTCCAAAATTACTCGGGGAGAGGGGAAAAGTGGGTACAATATTGGTAATATTGGTCTTTTTTTAATTCAAAAAAGGAATGATTATCATTTTCTCCATTCTTGTGATCTTGCAGTTCTTTCAAGTGACTACACTCTAAAACAGGGTATCTGATAAGGACAAAAGGACCAAGACATTTTTAGACACAACAAAATCAAATTTTTTTAAATTTATACTATAAAAAATAAACTCCCTTCACTCCTGCCCTGACCCCATCCCAATTTCTCCTCAAGGGTAATGTTACATACACCCTGAGTACTGGGTAAGGTTTGCCGGTTTCATATACTACTTGTTCATTTAAATGTCCATGAGCTAAAACAACCAGATTGGAACATTACAGATTCTCCAGTTCTAAAATGAAACAAAAGCAGCTACTTTTCAAAGATTCTTTTAAATTTTCATCAATCTCTAAAAATTTCCATCTACTGATTCATTTTCAGGAGTTTTCTGAATAAATCACTTTAATATTGGAAGTTATAAAAAACAGACATAAATTTGACTCCTTTACTGGTAGGCACTAATGTTGCCCATTTATGGAAAAAAAATGGTCTTCAAGAGAGGGTCCTCTTTTCTAGGAAATCACTCCTCAAACCCAATGCCTAATCCCCAGCATGGAGACACCAAAGCTGCAGCCCTATCTGTCTATCTGAAGTGGGGAATAGTTAA